TAACATTTTAGGCCCCTTTTCTATGGAACCAGCTTCCAGTTTGGATTCGGGAGACATGCACCATCTCTACTTCTAAGATTAGGCTTAAAGGTTTCCTTTTTTGCTAAATCATATAGTTAGGGCTGGATCAGGTGACCCTGAATCCTCCGTTGGTTATGCTGCAATAGGTGTAGGCTGCTGGGGGATTCCCATGATGCAATGAAAGTTTCTTCTTCAGTCGCCTTACTCAATATGTGTTAGTAGACATCTCTACATTGAATCATACTTGCTATTAATCTCTGGCTCTTTTCCACAGCATGTCTTTTATCCTGTCTTCCTTCTCTCACCTCAACTGGTCACTGTAGATGCACGCCCCTCCTTAAGCCTGGTTCTGCCAGAGGTCTCTTCCTGTTAAAAGGGAGTTCTTCCTTCCTACTGTCGCCAAAGTGCTTTCTCATAGGGGCTCATACGATTGTAGGGTTTTTCTCTGTGTGTATTATTGCAGGGTCTACCTTACAATATAAAGCACCTTGAGGTGTTGTTGTGATTTGGCGCTGTTTAAATAAAATTGTTGTCTTTCAGTGTACTTGGTCATTACTTGATGTGTTTTTAATTTTTTCTGTAATAGCACTGAAACTTTTTCTCTTCCAAAGTGTAATTTCTCAGTTCAATGCACGGTTACACCGAATAAATAAATCTCAGGTGATCTAATTCCTTTGTGGTTTTGAAGAACCACATAAATGACTTGAGCTTAGCTGATTTTACTAAACCTGACAAACTTCATGTCTATGTTATTATTTCGTTTTTTTGTTTGTTTGTTTTTTACAAATTTGTCTCTAATGTTCTGGATTTGGGTGCTCTCATATATAAAATCTACCAAGGAGATCCAGTAATAAATCTCTAATTTTGGCCTCACCCTTCCCAAGATCCATCAGGTCTCTGAACTTTCCTGCAGTACTCCAGCCCCTCTCTCAGAGTCGACCTGAAGAAGACAGCAAACTCAGAGGATCCTCCTGAACTTAAGCGACAACTGAGAAAACACATATGCTCAAGATATTTTCAGAAAAAGACAGTTTGGTTTTATACTCATTTTATTAGGTCAGCTTTAGTTTAAGCCTTGCTAATACTTTGGACAATTACAGAAGAATCTCACACTGTGGACACATTTGCTCCAATGGGTTTATGAGAGGGAGCAGAAAAGATGGCAGTAAGTGTAGCTAATGTCCAGCCTTTGCTGTCACCTGCCCGTCTGTCGAGTCATGTGCACAAGGGTTCAGGATTGCAGTGCATGTGTGAAAACAGTTTTAGGAGATAGCATACCTCTAAACAACGTGTTTATACCTTATCTCCTCGGCACGATGATCAGGGTAGACCTTCTGGAAATGCCTCAGAGCCTGCATAACTGCTGAGGTGCACTCCACATATGTGTAATCAATCATGATGTCGCCTGTTTGTGTATGAACGTAAGAGATAAAAGAAAAAGACAGACAAGGCAAAAAAGTAACAGTGAAAAACAAACATTTCACAACATGTTCTGCATCCTCATTTTCAATGGAAAATAAGGCGGTCTTTGACTTTCTGCCCTTTGCTACTGGAAAGGTCATTGCCACATTTTCAGCACGCAATGGAAACAAAGGTTTCCACTCTCCAAATGTCATGTTTATATTTATTGCCTCCCTTTTTCATATCTACATATTTACAGTTTAAGGGACTCAGACATTCCCAGCAACTGCCGGGAACTCCTCCTCACATGACTCTTTGAAATCAAAGTTTCTTTTATACAGAGACATTTTTTTCAGTAAGATGTTGGCAACACACTCACCGAAAACCTCAGAGGGGTTGAGCAGCTCCAGGAGTCTCCCTCCTCTCTTAGTTTCATATGTGGCAAATCCACCATCTGTGTTTTTCATGCTCAGCAGCTACAAAAACAGAAACATGGTGAAAAGATGAAGAAGAGGATGACGAGGGGCTGGGTCTTCAGTTCAGTTTGCACTCCAATTGCCTTTAAAATGAAATGGCAGCAAGATTTCACAGGAAGCCTTAGATATTCTCAATTTTTCACAACGCTCCACATTTATTTCAACAACGTTTATTTTAGTTAGTGCTGTACATAAAATACGATAGGCATTAGGGGTCAAATGTGCAACATAAGGTAATATTAGAGTGTTAAACCTAGGAAATCAATTAGAAATTACAGTCAAGTTTAAGAGCTGAGTATTTATTTGGTTCATTTAAAATACGAGCAGAAGCCTGCTGCAGCAGACCTGCAGATCTCTGGGATGTGTGGGGCATAAAACAAACAGGATGTGGAGAGTATGAACTGTAAACAAAAAAAAAAGGCTTACTGACTAAATCATCCTTTTTTGTACTCACCACGTTGACGGCATCACACAGACGCTCAAAAGGGACGGGCTGCCTGATGGAGGGGCGGAGCTCCTGCAGCAGCATCAGTGACTTCAGGCCTTCTGCAGTGCAGTCGGCCACAATCCAACCACAGTCACGGGTACTGAAGGGGAAACCTCCCTGAAAGAAATGCAGTGCATGCTTTACTTATACACATAAGCTAAATTTAAGACGGTTTATGTTTCGTCAAAGCACATTCGAGTGATTTATTTAACAATGATAAATAAACTGGTTAAAAGCGACTGCAGGGTGATAATATCTGTACCTTATTCATCTGTCTGTAGTACTTCTGATATTGAGGAGGATTCTCCGGGATCTGTAAGAGCGAAAAACTGGTCAGCCATTTAAAATAAACATTTTTTAAAGTGTCAAAATAAAATGATGAAGTCTTGAAACTTGGGGCCATCTTAGAAGCTCATGCAGCATGTATTTGGCCCGTTATCTTAAAACATACAATTACATTTCAATGGTCATCAGGACACAGAAACTGCATGTTTAAATCATCAGTCAAATCGGATTAAAATCCCTTATCTGCAAACGTTTCTCCAAATAAAGTTTTAAAAAAACATTTTTCACTAAAAGGTATTACTTCTATCATCATCATTGCTGTTAGGGAATTCACCCATAGATTATAATTCAGGATTCTTTGATTTCTGGAAGAGAAACTAAAATATACTACTAAAACAATGTGTACTACTTTCTGGTTTCCAACTTTAATGTTTAGGTGAATTATCCCAATCAGAAGCTAGTTTTTCAGATTATTCAGACACCACATAAATATGCAAAGAACACAAAAAAATTTGTTTTCATTATCAAAGCCATTCGGTGGATAAAGTGCATCTCCTTGCTGTACCTGTGTGATAGTGAGAAACTGATGGGCGTCTCGAAGGCATTCAGCTAGTTTTGGGTCGTCCTGAGCTCCTGCCTGAAAAAAACAAAACAAAACTGCAACACACAAAAGTAGTTTTCCTGATGTGTTTTTATGTCAAACACAGCACTAAAACAGCTCGTCAAGGTCGTCTTGATCTCGGACTAAGTTACACAGGTAACATTTCTGTTACCAGATAATATTTATTGACAAAGTTGATTGTGACGTCCCGTTTAGGACTATGTGTTGGCTCAGTGTTTGACTAGTTCGACTCTCATCAAATTTTACTCACTGATTTCATATGTGGAGTTTCTCAGGGCCCAATTCTGGGTACACAGCTGTGTCTGAGTACAATAACGTGCATTTTACCTAAATTTAGAAGCAAAAAGTTATCCAGGTCATCCAGGTTATATCTTTAAGACATTGCTGTCTGTTTTCTGTTTTCATGGATAGATAGAGCTGGGTGTCATCTGCATAGCAGTGAAAATGTATGCTGTGCCTTCTAATGATGCTGCCTAAGGGAAGCATGTATAATGTAAACAGAATTGGTCCTAGCACTGAACCCTGTGGAACACCATAACTAACCTTAGTGTGTGAAGAGGACTCTCCATTTACATTAACAAATTGGAGTCTAGTAGTTAGATATGATAAAAACCACTGCAGTACCTGTAATACCTACAGTATGTTCTAATCGCTATAATAGGATATTATGGTCGACAGTATCGAACGCTGCACTGAGGTCTAACAGGACAAGCATAGAGACGAGTCCACTGTCAGAGGCTATAAGAAGATCATTTGTAACCTTCACTAAAGTTGTTTCTGTGCTGTGATGAGCTCTGAAACCTGAGTGAAACTTCAAATAAGCCATTCCTCTGCAGATGATCTGTTAGCTGTTTGACAATTCAAGGATTTGAACTCCATATGAAATTAAGGTTGGAGATTGGCCTATAATTAGCGAAGACATCTTAGTCATGGGATGGATGATTAAGTAATGATTTAACTACTGCCAGCTTGAAGGCCTGTGGAACAGAGCTAATTATTAGAGATAGGCTGCTCATATTTAAGATTGAAGCATTAATTAATGGCAGCACTTCTTTAAGCAGTCTTGTCAAATACAGATGGAGGTGTGTTGGAGGGGTTTTACATATGAGCATGAATGCGCTTTGGTTGAAATTACCGGTACTGTAAGCATTAGAGGTCATCTTTGTCTTACCTCGAGGTAAGCCTGCACAGCAAAGCAGGTGTCCCAGAGCTGAGATCCATTCGTCCCCTGTGTCAGAAAAGAGATTGGATTAATCCCAAAGCATGAAACAAACAAGTAAACTAAAACAATGTGTTTAGAAGGCAATAAGTTTATGTATTCAAATAGATTTTGGGCTATTCTTTGGATTAATGCACCACCTGAACTTTAGCTGTCGGCGAAACTGATTCTATGGATTCTTCTTTCTACATCTGTGATGCACCATTCTCCTCTATATCTCACACTTAATGACATCTTTCTGCTGTGAGAATAATATGGATTTAATAAAGGCTCAGTAAAGAGTTTCTTCTTTCTTCTTTTGCAAGCTGGAGGTGCAAAGATCCTCACAAACACACCTTCAAATGTTAAAGAGGTAAAACAAAGACAGAACAAATTCTCACCTGCATTTTCATTCCATCCAGTCCCAACCTGGTACACAGAGAACTTACAGTAAGTTTATCAGTTTTACACCTTTTGTAAATGATTTTTTTCTGTATGTTGCATAGTTGAAGTTGTTCTTGAAGCTGGAGTTTGGTTTGTTTTATTACTGAACTGTTCAAGATCGGCTGACTGACCAGAGGTAGTCCGGGATCCTGGACACGTGCTCCTGAAAGGCTGCAGAGGAGGGACCATCGACATACCAGCGAACCAGCATGTTGATAGTCTTGGAGATCTGAGGAGAACCATCAGCAGATATCTAACTGCACGTTGCTGTTTTTATTTTACACTGTTGGTTCAAAACATACTTAGAAAACAGGAAATACTTTGTATCAATAGGTAACTTCACATCTGAGCAGACAAGTATCACATGTGGAGTTCCCCAAGGTTCCATCTTGGGACCCCTTCTGTTTAACATTTGCATGCTCCCACTGGCACAGATTATAAAGAACAACAAAATAAACTATCACAGCTATGCAGATGACACATAAATATATATATATCACACAGTCACCAGGAGACCGAGGCCCTGTACAGGCTCTTGGTAAATGCATTGAGGAAATTAATGACTGGTTGTGCCACCATTTTCTCCAGCTAAACAAAAACAAAACTGAAGTAATAGTCTTTGGTGCCAGAGAACTTCAATCTATACACCTAAAAACCACCAACCAGGCGAGACATTTGGGTGTAGTGATGATGCAGACCTAAACTTAGAAAAACACATTAAGACAATAACAAAGTCAGCTTACTATCACCTCAAGAATATTTCAAGGATAAAAGATCTGATGTCTCAACAGGACCTGGAAAAACTAGTCCATGCATTCATCTTTAGTAGGCTTGATTACTGTAACAGCATCTTTACAGGTCTACCTAAAAAATCAGTCAGACAACTACAGCTCATTCAGAACTCTGCTGCTCGAGTCCTCACTAAGACCAAAAAAGTGGACCACATCAGTCCAGCTCTGAGGTCTTTACACTGACTGCCTGTCCGTCAGAGGATAGACTTTAAAGTTCTGATGCTGGTCTATAAAGCTCTGAATGGTTTAGGACCAAAATACATCAGTGACCTCCTGACCCAGTATGAACCTTCCAGATCCCTCAGGTCATCTGGATCCGGTCTTTTATCAGTTCCTAGAGTCAGAACCAGACACGGAGAAGCTGCATTTAGCTTTTATGCTCCTTATATCTGGGACAAACTCCCAGAAAGCCTCAGATCAGCTGAAACACTCAGTTTATTTAAATCCAGGTTGAAGACTCACCTGTTCTCAGCTGCATTTGAATAAAACACCAAATCCACACTTTTAAGCTTAAATTTCCAAACTTACATTTTAACTACTGATTTTATCTACTGTTCTGATTTTATCTACTGTTTTTTTAAACAATTTTAAATCATGCTTTTTATTTGTTTTTGTTTTTAATGTCTCTGTAAAGCACTTTGAATCACCTTGTTGTTGAATTGTGCTATATAAATAAACTTGCCTTGCCTAAATAAGATGATTTAAATAAATTTTGCACCTAGAAACTCAAACTCCACAAATCTGTGTTCTTTGCTTCGAGTATCTGTGTATTAGTTACCGGGCCAATGCTGATGCATTTCGTGAAGCGATCGTCGGCCTCGATGTGATCATACAGCTCTTTGACTGCTTTTCCTCTCAGCGTGGTACTGTGGTGGGCTTCATATACATTTAACACCACTGCAGGCCAAAAGGAACAAAGTTACAGGGTTAGAGAAGAGAGTGGAGGGGAATACCCACTGAAAACACTTATTACAATCCTCACTATGTAAAACACCCTCCAGACAAAACTTTTCTATTAAAGTAAATTGTTAAATGTTGTAATTTTTATTCTTACCATCTCTACATTGTTTTAAACTGTGTGATCAAAGACATTCCTTTGTCTCTGACCACTTCTCCAGCCAATTTGGTGCTGGGGGAGGCTGACGTGGGTTTTATTAGGCACATCTTATCTGAAAGATCTGTTTCTTGTGTTGTAAGCTTCCTGCTTTTATGATCGTTTTGGTGAGCAGGAGGACATACAAACGCACCCCCATGACACACACACACGTTCTTGCACATGCAAAGACATGCATACACATGCACACACATACACATAGTGCCTTGTCTTTTAGAACCATTGGGGGGTTTTACGGTGGGAGGTGCTTGTGTTGTGATGTGTATTGTAACAGTTTGTCAATAAATAGCTGTGAGGAGAGCTGCTCTTTGAAGGACTTGGTTTGGAGACAGGTGAGGAGCGTTTAGCTCCACAGCCTGGTTCTGACCAAGCCGTCCCTCGTTAGCGAGTAAAAGACCGGTTGAAGATGTTCTGTCTTGTTTTCGTTCTCCATGAGGAATAAGTCTCTAAATTAGCGGAGCCTGTGGAAATACAGACTCAGCAGTTTCTCTTTCCTTCATATCTGCTGCTGAAAGCTTTGCTGTTGTGCAAAACATCTGTTAGTCCATTTTTTCTTAGCAGTCATTACAACCCAACTGTTTTAAATGTGCAGCTCTGGAGGCAGGTATTCACAGGTCAGACTTACTGTAAGCGACTGTGAGGAGTGTGCTGTGAGGTGTGTACATGTCACATGCTGCCACGTTGTTCCTCTGCGCCGGCCAGTTTATAAAAGCATAGTCCTGCACGTAAAGCTCCTATAGCACAAAGAACAAGGCCCATGTTATTGATATACATACAGACTACAGAGGAAGAGAACAATTAAAGGCAAAACACAGGCACAGGAACACACTCTATTCACATAATTCTCCTAGACTCCAACCTCAGCCTAAAAAATAAGAACAAGGAAGAGACAGACAGACAGGTAGATATAAAAAAAAAGGAAGAAAACAAACATAAAAAGCGAAAGCGAAACGAAAATAAGAAAAGGAAAGGAGGACTGAGAGGCAGGGCTCTAGAGTGCGACCAATTTGGTTGCAAATGCAACCAAATTTTTCAGTGATGCGACTAAAAAAAAAAAAAAAAAATCTTTGGTCACACCAGTGCGACCAACTGTTTGGGTAACAAAAAAAAAATCTCTAAACCAATCAGAGACAGTCAGGGGCGGGACCTCTCTGATCGGCCGTGGTCCAGTTGAAAGTGCAGGAGGAAGAGGGAGGTGAGTAGCTTGAATAAAGCGATATCGACTCATTAAATCCTGAATTGACTTTTAAATATAACTGTGTTTTGCCAGAAACGCCAAATTCTCAGATTAAAGCTCACAAAACTATTTCAACAACCACCAAACAGCAAATGAGAGCAGGTACACGGATTCCACACAAAGACGTAAACACAGAACGGACCGACGCATCAGAATCAGCTTTGTCTTTCTTGGCTTTCTCACCCGACGGCCCGTAGACGGACACGCCGTCGGAGCTCAGCGATTCTGATGCGTCTGGTCTGCTCTGTGTTTACATCTTTTTGAACTGATTCTGAGCTGCAGGTTTAGTCTCTCTCCAACCAAAATTCACCGAGCCAGCAGCAAAAGAAGCATCAAACTGCGCTTCACATTTGATAAACATCGTCATGAATTCCCTCTGAGTTTTGCTGGTTTGCTTCCACCACAATAAAAATCACACTTCCTGCACAGCTCTCTCTCTCTCTCTCTGTACTTCAAGAACAGTTTCCCGTCTCAAATCTCTGTTTTCTGCATTATTCATTCGCTTATTACCCAACAGTCTACCGTTGTTTACAGCGCTGTCTTTTTCTCTTTTCACTTAAATGACCTCGGACAAGAAAGCCTAATTTCTGCTGTTCAATACTGAAGAAATTAAAACTTTTTAAAATTATGCAAAATTACAGAATATTGCAGAATATTTTTTAAGGTTATCTGCTATAAAAAGCCAGGCCAGAAAAATCTCCTTCATGTTTTTCTGTTTTATTCTCAGTTACTTTCACACAAAGGCATCTGCTGTGATGTTCACAATTCTGATGAAGTCTCATATGTATCAGTACTGATAAATGATCAGAATTATAATATTTCTGATGGTCTGAGGATTAATTGAATCAACCTAGAAAACCTTTTAAAACACAGGCCTACCTGTACAGCAGGTAACTCCACAGATGTTCACAGTCATTCTCTATTTTCACTAACGCTGATATATTTACTAATATTATCATTATTTTAATTATCATTACTGGCAAAGAGGATCAGGTTTAATTACAGTAACAGCAGGAATGTTTTTGTGCTAAACTTTAAGAGGATGTCATGTCCACATGACATCACCAGGTAAGCCACAGCTGGGATGCAAAGTACAACACTGGTTTGGCCGTACTGTGTTGGAGCATGGCGCCCCCATGTGGAACACGGTGGACTGCACACCTGTCTGAGGCTGAGAACCAGGGGATCTTCGTCTGCGGCCAGTCTGACGGCATAACAGTAACTCATCGGGAGGTAGACCTGCCGACAGTGACACCACAGGGTGGAGGGGTGGGCCGGCATCCAGGTGGGGAAGAGCCTGGAAGAGACAGAAACACGTCAGGAATCCTGGAACATTTATATTTGAGGGAAAATGATCAGTCTGACTTCCATTCTACTTAGAAAAACCACAAGTCAGGGTCAGAGTCATGACCAACAACGCCGCAGAGGGTTAAACTCTTGTTTCATGTGACACACCTGTGAGAGGCCACAGAGCTGCACACGAGTCTGGAAATCATCTCCCACTCACCACATCTCAGGGAGGAGCGTGTTCATTCCCTCCCAGCTGTAGACGTTCAAAATGGCCAACCAGAATTTACCCCACGAGGGAATCCCAACTGCTCCACCTGTACCAGATAAACACAGAGCGCTATGGTACACTGCAGCTGAAAACATGACACCATGGAGAAAAACGCACACTGAACATGACAGACCTTTGCTGTGCAGGTTGTTCCTGGCACGAACCATGTCTGGATCATCGGGATCCACTCCCAGGATCCGAAGTGAGGTGTAACTCAGCGCTGTGCCAAAGACGGTGGACTTGTCTTCAACATGTCTGCAGAAGTGACACACGCATGCTCACTGCTGCTGTGATCAGCGCTTGAGAAGTTGACTTTGGAAACGTGCTGTCCTGGGATCATTTTAGAGCAGTTTAGCAGCACTAAACTTGCCTCTCTGTTATATGTGCTGTTAAATGTGTTTGTTGTCTTTCTACTTCTCCTGCCATCGTGTTTTGTGTTAGTCTTTGTGTCTCAGTGCTTTTTATTTGTTTGTTTGTCTCTGTATTTGGTTCTTATTTAAATCTGGTAAGAGTTTTGATGTAATAACAGGTTGGAATCCAAGTTATTACTGATATCGGTTCCACATGAGTGATAAGGTTGGTATGGTGATATGAACATTAAAAGAATATTAAAAAAAAACCCTGTTGACTTACAGACCCCAGCCTCCATCAGGGAGCTGGACTGAGCGCAGGTACCTCACCATCTCCTTCTTCCAAGCCTCAGGCAGAGAGATCTTAGCTACATGGCAGGTGATCAGGAGACCTGTGGAAGCACCCGAACAGAGACGTGAAATCCCTCACACCCTGTTTTATTTATATAGCATCAATTCACAACAACAGCCACCTCAAGCAGTTTTATATTTTAAATTGAAGACCCTAATACAGAGAAAACACCAACAATCAAAACAAAGCACAAACTCCATTTGAACAGGTAACCTGCAGAACCAGTCTCAGGGAGGGACAGTTATCTGTGTGAACGAGGAGGGAGATGGACAAAAGACAAACTATGGCACAGAGAGCCAGCGTTAATAATTGCTAAAGATTCAGTGTTATAGTGGTGCATAAAGAGGTGAAGAAGAAACACTCAGTGCATATAGGAATCCCCCAGCAGCTTGGGACTATTGCAGCGTAACTAAGGATGGATTCAGGGTTAGCTGATCCAGCCTGAAGCATAAGCTTTATCATAAAGGAAAGTTTAAGCCTAATCTTAAATCTGAAAAGCAGAGTGGCTGTCTGTCTCCTGAATCCACAGAAGAGGGGCCTGAAAGCTGAAGGCTCTGCCTCCCATTCTACTCTTAACATCCCAGGAACCACAAGTGAGCCTGCAGTCTGAGAGCTATGAGGTTTTTAAGATAAGATGGGTCCTGACTGTTCAGGGCCTTGTATGTAAGGAGCAGGATTTTAAACTAAATTCTGAATATAAGAGGGAGTCAATGGAGAGAAACCAATACAAGTGATGCTCTCTCTTTCTAGTCCCTGTCAGTACTCCTGCTGATTCATTCTGCATCACCGTCACTGATGGTGCAAAGGTTAAAACTGTTGCCTCACACACACACACACAAAAATAAATAAATGGTGGGTTCAAACCTTCCTGGGTTTCACAGTTAGTCTGCCATAAATACATTAATGTGTACTGAATTTGCACCTTTATTTTTCTACCATTACATTCACAACTGGAGGTTGAAGACAAGACTCTGTTCCCTGTAAAGGCAGTGCTTTACAGGGAACATCTCCAATGATGCAATGAGAAACTTCACTTTATTTTGCACGGTCACTACAGACATCAGGATAAGGAGGATGACTAGACTCACCTGGCAACAGGAAGAGAGGCCCTCCATAGTCTCCTGCCCAGTGACCGTCCTCGGCCTGCAATTGACTGTAGAAATGCATGCCTTTCACTGCGGCGTCCACAGCAGTGTGGGCGGCTGGAGAGTCGGACACGAACTTACTCTGTGGAGAGAATCAGTGATCTTACTACCCACCGTTGTCATCCACAAAGTTTAAAGATATTCAAGTTTACTGTGTCGCTCTGAGAAATCCAGTTTCCAGTAAGAGCCAAACAGTCAACTCAAAAGCTGTGAAAGATGGGAAATAACTGAGAGGAGCCCACCGTGTCCAAGCCGAGTGAATGGGCCTCCAGCATTCTCTGCTCTCTGTCTGCGGTCTCCTGATCTTCCAGGTACCGCCACGTCTGCCGGCCCTCCACATTGGTCAGCCTCCAGCGGCTTAGGTCTGTGGCTGGCTCCGTCTTATACGGCCCCCCTCGCCTCCGCAGGTGCCTGGCATAAAGAGTATTTGAAGAAGGAAACACTTCTGTAGATTGCCTTTTACAGATGTGACTGAAGTGCAGACTTCCAGCTTGATTTCAAGAGATTTAACGAAATATTATTGTTTCATTTTTATAAATTAGAGCAATTTTACATACAGACCCCATTTTCAAATGCTCAAAGGTTATTAAACACTTGACTGTCAACCTGTTTCATGAGCAGGTAAGACCTGGCTCCGACCTCTCGCATCCCATCCCCAAATTTTAGCTTTCTAAAAAGTCTTTATAATTCCTGAGCTCATTAACAAGTACATTTCACTAATGTTTTCTTAAACATTTCTTAGAGTTACGACAAAAACGTGCACTATGAATGATTTATTTATTATTATCGTCCTATTTATTCAGGTAAAATTCTCACTGAAATTAAAATCTCATAGTTGTTAAATGAAAGAAGTCAAAAACTCACGTTCCCTCAGTCATAGCTGCTGTCAGATCAGTCAAACCCTCCGCTAAAATACGTGAATGAATCTCATCTCAAGAGCTCCCGAAGCTCCGCCCCTTCCAGTGTTTCCACGGGAACTGTAGTCCTGAGAGGGCAGCGAGTGCAGCCAGTTTGGTACATCTTAGACTCCACTTCCCAGGAGGCCATGCGAGGCCCGTCCGAGGAGTTCTCCACATGGAGAGACATGAGCAGAGACTCGGCTTTCCAATCACAAACCGAGTGGGAGGGGAAATGGGCGGAGTTTACAGTGAGGTCGTGGAATCATAGAGCTGCTCAGATAAACATACACATGTGGCTCACAGCTGGACAGTGATAAAGCAATGATAACAATGACAAACGGTTTTACAAGAAAAATATTCCACTTTTATTCAACAATTATATATTCAATAATAATGTGGGATTAAAGGAGTTCAATCCCCAGCGTTTAATGTGCTAGTTACACAGAGACACTCTTAATAAACAACAATAAATCCGGAGTCAGTGTTACAAAGTTAATCCAGTGCTAAAAATATACATTTTCATGTTTAAAATAACAACAACAACAACAACAACAACAAAAACCCCAACACTCCTATTTGTAGTCCGTGAACCCGACCACACTGAGAGGAAAAGGTGATGATCATGTCACAGACAGGTATGTAGATGCAAACACTTCTGTTTGCTTCAAGTGCTGTCAGTCATCGACGATGCTCAGCATGCCGCTCAGCTTTAGCCTGCAGGCCAGTTCTTCCTCTTGGCTTGCCAAAATCTGGCGTTGCAGCTCCTTCAGTCGCCACGTCAAAGATTCAGGAGCAGTCTTACGCCGGGTCACTTTTTCCAAAGGATCATCAGGCTCCTGGAAAGATAAAAGATTTTCTTTATCTGTAGCAGCTTAAACAGTGAACCTATTTCAGTGTCGGGAAACAGTCGTACCTGTGTGAAAGATGCCTCTCGAGTCCTGGCTGTGGGGGTGTGCCTTATGGTGGTGGGCATGGACAGAAGGGTGGAGGATGGGAGGAAGAGCGGGGTGGTCAATTGCTCCAAAGGGTCGCCATCCACCCAGCACTGAAGCTGCTCCATGCTCCTGCAGAAAGGCAGAGAGGGTGTGTTTACTGTCGGACTCCCCAGTCAATCAAACTTCAATTTAAAAATCACAATTTTGACTTGTGATGATTATGAGTTCATTCTGATTACAATGCTCTTGTTTCTTTCTTTCAGGCCCAAATTCAGTTGCTCTCAAGTTTAGCTCCACTAGAGATGGCTAAAAACAATCTTCAGTCAACAAGAACCTTTTGAACCTGCGCAAGGGTTTCAGGGACTTCTTAATTAATATTGAATCAAAAATGAAACGAACGCAGCAGAAAATGAATCAGGGTGTAATGGTTTGCTCCTGGATACCCAGCAGATGAAAAATTGCTCATAGGGGACACAAAAGAAGTGGAAAATTCTCATTATAATAAAATTGGGATGATTTTGCAAACTGCCATGAGGTTCACTGAGGTTCACTTGAACTGGTGGGTGTGGGATGGCCTTATGGTCATAAAAATCTAGTCTGGGGCTAAAACTGCCTACCTGTGTGAGCCCCACCACCCTAATCCATGACCATCACATTTAAAAGCAGTGATGTAGGTATACCTCTTGCTTTCAGCTTTCTCCTCCTCTAAGCTCTGCAGGACTTTGTGGGCCAGCAGCTCCGGTGGCGTGGGCGTGTGGGTGATGTCCAGCGGGGCTGACGTAGCCTCGACGGGCTCCACCAGACTGTGGAACAACCTCTGCCTGAGGGTCGCCGTGGTGGGTGTGGCATAAGCAGCTGCACTCACCCTGAGGAGGGAGAAAACCGGAGGAATTAGGAACAAAGGAAGAGCAAAGGAGGCGCTCCAAGGATGCCACCATGACGCCGGCTTTAGAGCATTTAAGTAGGACTGTTTTTGGGGAGTCTGAGTTTTTGCTTCATGCACTGCACAATAGTGTTGCACATTCAGGTGCTGTCAGATTAAAAGAAAGATGCGCATGTCTCAGAGGCATTGACAACCTGTGGGGTTTTCCTGGGCCTCCTTACCCCTCCTTCTCTTGCTGCTTCTCTCTGTGAGTTTGCCTCATGGCCTCCGTCCACTCCTCGGGCGGCTGGAAGCCCTTCAGTGAGTATTTGGGGAAATAAACCAGGATCTCTCCATCCTCTGTCACAGCATCTTAAAACAAACAATAAATAGGAATTATGGGTCAAAAACATCAATAGCAAAGTGGAAAATAGGCATTTTTTTAAGATGATCTTTCACAGAAAATTAGACCAAACTGACAAAGACTAAAACTTAATACATTTTCTTTATATTTTTATTGTGTTTGGCCACTTTCTTAAGTGCTCTATATGGTTTTAGTTAGTCTCAAATTTAGTTTTAATTAATTACAGCAGCATGGTCCTCACCTTGGCAGACAGGTGGTTTAGGTATCTGCCAGTCCTTCAGCTTGTGGTCAATGCAGATCACCAGCACGTCATCCCAAGGAATCAAACTGAAGTCCACACATACATCGTCTTCTCCAGCGTATCCGGGGGTTCGGGTGCGCCGACTCTTTAACTTGACTCTTTCCAGAAGGTTTTCGAGTCGAGACATGAGGAGGGGTTGATTGCGACGTGAGACCGGGATCTTAGCGGCGTAGCGAAAGATGAAGGAGCACAGCTCAGACCACGAGTCTAAAGAGAGCAATAAGATGATTAAATATATAAAATAGGATTATTAACCTCTGAATATCTTTGTGGAAGATAAATCTCTTTCTGTGTGAAACTGACCTGTTGTGGACAGCTGCTCCCACTCTGGCAGCTGCAGGCTGAGGATGATTTCCCGCAGCCAGGCCAGGTGCTGGTAGGAGTTCCAGGCCAGATGAGGCACAAAATCCCTCATGTCAGGCAGACAGAATTCGCCCGGAGGCCATGAGAGCCCGCAGAGCTCCTGAGATGCCACTTTATCAGCAACGTGAGTCAGGATTGCGTTGTAAAGCTGAACGACAGGAGCTGGATCCTGGGATGGAAGATGTGCGGTAGCTCGCTCCAACCGGTGGGAGTAAACTCTGGGACTGAATTCATGACTTAAGGTGGACTCAATGAGCTCCACTAGGGTCTTACAGGTTAGACTGAAAGGTGGCAGAGTACGGAGAGCCAGCCAGCGCACGGCCTGGTTTATCTGAAGACAAACAACAGGACAGGACGGAGAGAAGATGGAGAAGGTCAGTAAAGAAAAAAAAGCAAGACCAAAAAAAACCTCCATGATGGCAAAGGAGCAAATGCGTACCTGTTTGGATCCCTGCAGATCATTAGTGGTCTCTGGTATGAAGAAGAACGTATACTCCGATATCAGGCCGTCCGTCACCAGTGTGTGCAGCTTCAGAGCTAGAAGAGATGAAGCTTTTTTAAAAACACTCATTTACCAACTACTACAGAAATCTCTTCGTGCTGTCTTCACTACCATTTCTCACCTTCAACAAGTTTCTGTGTATCAGCAGCGCCCCCGTCTAGCCCTGGTACCAGGATGACGAGTGGCAGTGGGCAGTGCCAGGCGCTGGCTTGCTGTAGCTGTTTGAGCTGAAGCAAGGCGGACAACAGCGGGACGTCCTGCTCGTCCTGATCAGGCTCCACGGTGGGCAGGGCGGGCAGCAGCATGATGAGGGCGCTCGTCCCCTGGAGCTCACAACTCTCCTCCATTTTTGACAGGCCGTCTTCGTTTAGCGGACCTCGAGACACCTGCGGGGTGGGGAAAGAAATATTAAAATATAATTCCTAACCGTTTTTTTTTTTCTGATCATTAACGGACTTCTGGTACTTTTAATCTCAGCAAAACATGATTTATGTCCCTGAAAAAGCTGCTTCTTCTTTACCCTTTAGGCCAATTCTAGTTATTTTTCTTCACACAAGCCTTTCAGCTTCAGCCTTAAAACATTTAACCTAACGTGAAGCTCCTGTCTATTGTGATTCTAGCACAGCTCTGCTCTGAATAATCATATTTCTATTTCTGCATGCCCTGCGTGATCTGACCTTGATGCTAATGTGGACTTTGTGAGTGCGCTGTCCGCTCTCCTGCAGCGTGTTGGTGACAGTCAATGTCTGCAGGGTGCCCTCTGGCTGCTCCTCCCTGCCCTCTGACTCCTTATGCCCACCGAGCTTCACCTCCAGCCAGTCAGAGAGGATCCTGAAATCATAACAGACAGGACACAATCAGTGAAATGTTCATAGAAAACCGGGCCTAGAACATCTTTAGGGCATTAGAGCACCTGTCTGCCAGGCTGGCAACGCTCTCATGGTTGCTGGGTAAAAGAACGACGGCCTTCCAGAAGATTCGCTCGGGTGCGTTGGGGATGTTTTCCGTCACCAGCGCCGGCAGGTCGAGAGGCGCCCAAACTGTTTCGCTGAGGGCGATGCCAGAAACAGGTCAAAATGACACTTTGTGACACGGACTGCTGACTGAACAAACACAGGAACAGGACTTACTCAAGCAGCTGCTGAAAGTAGTAGTGAACTCTCATCTGGTGGATTGCTCCTCGTTTCATATTGTACAACCTGGACAGACAGAAAACATGTTACAGCAAAGGAACTGTGCTCATCGTCCAACACTGACAGGAGACAGGAGAGGACAGGAGATACACACACCTGGTGCTGGAGAGCGCCAACATGCCAGCATTTCCCAGGTTGACCAAACCACGAGCCAGATCTGCTATGGAGGGCTGAGCAGGGGCGCTGGGAGCTAGAGCTTTCAGTTTAAAGCGAGGGTCAACGCAGCAAGGGGCTGCAGGAAAGCCTCGCATCTGTCGCTTCAGCTGACGGCGAACAGCCACCACGTCACGCCACCTGGTAGATGAGGAAGAAGAATATTTAAAAACTGCAGAAAGACGTTTCTGGGATTCTTGGTGCCGTTTTGTTTTGCTCGTGTGCCTTCATTATCCATGTTTTTACCTTTTGATGTACTTGTGGATACGCTGCAGCTCTGCTTCAAGCAGGTTTTCAACCAACACAGCGATGTCTGCATTCAGAGTCTCCTCAACTAGACTCACA